TCCACGATGCCTTCGCAAAATATCGCAGATCTGGCAAGAGGTCTGTGAGTGAATACACTTTGGGGTCACTTGCGGTAGTATCTTCCTCTGTGGAATTCTTCAGGACAAAAATGGGGGTGGGCGAAGTGATGTACCTGGAAAGTAACGTCTGTTCCTTTGTCTAGCTGAGGTCTTTGGCTAGCCGCGATGGGCGCCTCCAATTTTGGAGATCATGCCCGGCTCCGATGGCCATGGAGGTGACCGCCAAGTCCGGCCAAGAGCAGAGTCAAAAAGCCGGATTCATCCGTTGTTTTGTTTTGCGGAGGAAAGGGGCGTTTTAATATGTAAAGTCGCAGTGTGCCAGATTTGCATTTTGACCTTCTTCTTTTGATGTCGACAGACCTACCATCCGGCGTTGTCGTCTTCTTTTCCATCAGAATGGTACGATCTTTAGTTCAACCCATCTTTGATTGAGCAGGCACACGTGTCCTGAGGGGTCCTGGCCTGTTCGACGCTCCACGCCGTTGAGGGACCCCTATCTCTCCTTCCAATCGGTCGACTCGGGCCATTGACAACCGCTGTGGACATCTTGCCTTGCCGGCATTGTACAATGTGGGTTGCTGCGGCAGACCGTTTCCTGTCAGTTGAGCTTGTGTAACCTAACCCACCTCGGAGGCACCTGAATGTTGCGCAGGCCGATCGAACCCACACGATGTCGGGGCCACTCCGACATCCTTGTCAAGGCCTTCCTTCTTCAGGTTCTCAAGACGTAAACGGTTCTCTGTGATTGGAATAACAATATCAAACGAATGGATCTCCTCTATCCATCATGCTATCCATCATGGACGAACCCGGCCTTTCTCAACAAAGAAGAACGGTCTCCCACCTAGGGTTGCACTTTTCCCACTTGTAAGTCCATGTCTTTCCCACATCAAGCCTTTCCGCAACAAGCGTCTTAAATGGCGGACGTCTTACTCTACCATCATGGCACACATGTATCGCGGCCCATTCCAGCTATCCATGAGAGTAAATAATTTCCTTCTCGATCTCGATTCCAATCACCTCCAGGCTCCAGTTCACGGCGAAGTCGAAGGACCGATCAATGCCGCCGACACCCCGTCGCGCACTTGAACAAAACTGCGACTCACCTGATTCATGCCGCCCACCACTTCACCGCTTTTAGTACAGATCGCCACGTCGACAAACTTGTCGACACTATCCTTCTTTGCCCCCTGAGGACGTTGCGGATTAGTCTCCCGCCGGCCGACGAGCATGAATAAGAACGAGGCCGCCGCACCGCAAAAAGCAGTCGATCCCAGCAAGGGAACAACAATGATTCAGGTTAAAAGTATGGGGGTCAAAACGCGTGGCCAATTGCCGGCCGCAAGCCATGAAGGCATAACCTCTAGACCAGGTCGGAAGTCCAACCCACTGGTAGTCCAGCCGTCCTCCTCATGTCTCTTTTCGACCAACCAGTGCATGCTTGTTCTCTCCTGAGCTCGCAAGCCTTTCGTCTTGACCCAGTAGCGATGCAAAAGACTGAGATGCTCCAGAACATCTTCTACTACGCAGTAGCCTTATTCTGTCAGTCCAATCTCACCAACATCCATTGGCAGTGTGCTTCTATGTGTTTTGCTGTACGATGTTCGACTCCAGCTCGTGATATCCCGTACATTGGCTCGTCCGTATTGCACGCATACCTGGGCAGCTCCACAAAAAGACATGAACGAGGCACTTCTCGGACAACCCCAGGCCCCTAGCACACTGGGCCCAAAAGCGACAGTGATGAACTGAACACGTTTTCCGCTCTCGAGAAGGCTCCCAAGCATCTTCGAGAATACACAGCCGGAGTGAAGAATAGTCTTCTACCCATGTCCAGTGTTCCCCAAAGCTTGGTTTCTCAGGGATGCTGAGGACAAGACTGGATTAGTCCGACCGAATGTTTCCGCGAAACAATACGGCCTGACTCTTTAGGTCGTTTGGTACATAGTAGTCTGTTTCGGAAGCTTTTGTTGCTGGCTTGGACGTTTTCCATCTCGTATTCTACGCGAAATCTTCCGTTGCAATAGCGATTGGACACATCGAAAGTGAGGATGATCTGGTGATCGGTGATTAAACAGCATCGGTCTGACAAAGCTCGCTCCTACGTCGTCCACCCGATCGGGTCCGTAGCAATCTATCTGCTGGTATGGTAATTCTGTTGGATCTAGATGCTGCTGTGGCATATCGAGAATTGAGCGGTTGCTCTACTGCCCCGAACGCGAATGTGTTTTTGGGGTCTCGGCCGCCCGTAACCCCCTGGTAGCCCCTTTCCATCTCGGTCATTCGGGGCTGTAACCATGATCAGAGGCACCGAACTGTAGTTTTTCATGGCACCAATTCTCACAGGCTCCGGCACAGGCTCCGGCACAGGCACATCAGGAATGGTGCGCATTGGGACGACCCTGAACGCAGCGCATACCAAAATCTCAACACGGAGATATCGTGTTGCTGGAGAGATCTTGACAATCGACCTGGATCAGAGTATTTCGACTTAGCTAGCTTTCAGACTGCTTGCTGGCCATGTAATTTGACGCGAAAGTAGGAAATGACAGGATCACGGCTGGTCTCAAGTTGTCTGTCATGCTACCACAAGTGACAACAGAGATGACTTCGCCCTCCTGCAGCATTCCTGCAGCATCTCGTCTTCGGGCTTCCTAAGTAGCGACAATCTATGCAGCCCCGACACGAGTGAGGACGCCCTCTTCATGCTCGGGCGAACGCTATTATTGACGTTGTGTTTTCCGAGTCACAGCCTAGGTTCGGATCCCACAAAGCCTTCTCTCTGGTGGTTACCTCCGAGAGCGTCCACATGCTCCTTTTGCCCGTTAAGTAGCGCAGCATCAGCAGGGGTGCACGCATGGTGAAAGGATCATCACTGGACCGGTTCTCCTGACACTGGTCTACACGAGATCTTGGGGGTTTTTTGGACTGCGACCGTCCAGCGAGACCGCACACGACTCACAGCATTCTGCCCATTCAACTGATCGAACCTTGTATGAATCATCTTCCGACTAAGATATTTTTTTGTCGAAGTCGAATAAGCCATGAAACTGCATATTCAGTCTCGATGTCTTCAAAGGATTGATCTTATGATCTTCTAGCCGAGACTACGTTCTATGGTACCTTGGCACGTTGTGCGGTAGCAAGTATTCTCGTCAGAATGTCTGCCGATGCAGTAGACTCCAAATAATCTCCTCGCCATCGATATCACTTGACATGTCTCATCCATGACACGCATGATGCAGCTCCGTAGACCGCGATTCAATCTCAACATTCATTATGCTCGATTTTGAATCGCGCGACCCTATGTAGGTTGCCACCTGCGGGATAGGGGGAATGGGGAGAGTAGGCAGATGCGAAAGGTGGTAGCGACGGAGATAGAGTTTGGATCGCAATTTTGGGTGGAAAGGGGGAGTCGAGGATGTGTAGCATACGATACGGTAGTGTACGCGTAGCTTGCGTACAATTTCACTATTATTTTAGCACTTGCAACTGAAAGTCTACATAAGGGAATAGAGACGGTAATGTCAATAAGCTATCCAGAATGCGCCGCACAACGTTGTGCGGCCAAAGTGACGTATTGTATGTGTGAACAATCGACATTAGATGCCTGAAGTACTTTTATGTAACCTTGTCCAGCCAACTAGGTCTCACTTTTTGGGCTAACATTGCGGTGAAGTCTAAAGTAAATCGGGCAAAATATCACTGTTTCAGCCGAAAACGATTCTCCCATTGTCGTCGTAAAGCTTCCCGGTTTCTGCTGTACAGAATAACGAGTGGACAACACCAACCGACATTATTAATCTAAGCTTTCAGTTCTCATTGAATTGTCTGGAGATGCAAAATTCTTCACTAGGGACACTGATCTTGGGTGTTGCTGTTCCTGTGGGCTGATACAATGTCTAAGTAGGTACATCAAGGGGTCACCACCACACCGACAATCCGAGCTGCTGAGCCCTTACCCCGAAGGAACACTACAATTTTCCCCTTCTTACTGACTTCTTCCTTATTCCCAATCTTTTGCGCCACATAGCTTTAAACATTGTGAAAAGCCTGCCTTGAATAATATGCTGGGAATTCTCTGCGCACCTCTCAAGCAGGAATTAGGGCTCTCGAAGATCCCGCTTTCGAGGAATTTTGGGCCCTTTTCTTGGTTCTAGAGTCAGGACGTTGCACCGACTGCTTTGCTAATTTTCAGCGACTGCACTTGAGCATCTTCGAATGAGCTATCAAATGTTTCCGAAGTGCTCCGGGGCTACCATGTGGTCTTTTTGTTCTTCCACTAGATGTTCAAGTTACCATCACCGGCTCATTTTCACTATAAAAATGTTCTGCCAGAAATAAGGATATCACTGGCTCTTACCGTTAGATACCTTGCATTTTCCTTTTCAAGTTGCCATAACCTAATTTAAACGGCTATATCCAGGCCCTCACCCGTATTTCTACCACATTATGTATCTTCACCACGCACTCTGTATGGAATACCAGCGGCAGAGTTGCAACTTAGTTTGAGCCACAAACAATACACTAATAAAGGAATTAAAACGTAAACAGGTCTGTTTTTAGTCGATATCCTCATATCTGGGCAGAATTCCACGTGTTAGGAGTCAGATGAAAGCTATAACTCCCGACGCGAGTTTGCTCCAATCCTCGGCGAAATCAAAAGTTTTGAATCTCATAAAATCCAAGTCAACAATCCGTGGTTGATTATTCGAAGGAAAAACCTTCTAGGTCCCAAATATCACAATGCTTAATAATCTTACAATCCGAAGTGATAACATGTCCTGTGCCTTTTACCTTTCATAACTGTTTGAAAGTGCCTTCATATCCGTAACGCTTGCTGTCGTTCTTTCCTGAACACACAACGCACACGTCTTCATGTAATCATGTTCTCTTAACAATCCTGCGATGCCTTTGTGGTGTATCATTTCCCATCAGATCCCTGAAACCAATATTCATGAATCATACGCTTCACCGCCTTAAACCTTGCGATAAGGATCCGAGACCGAGGAGCCGCGGCTGGCGTCGCCAACAGGGTTGAGGGGGATCGGGGCATGCACACCTCTCTTGTCATCCTCTACCACAACTTGACGAGGCTGGCGACTGCGACGGAATTCACTGATAGCAGCAACCAGAATCCAAGCCACGCCGAGAATGGCGGCGAGTACAGCGTAGGCGATCTTGAATTCTCTGGGGGAGTTGGAAATGTACAGTCCGAGACCACCGTTGATAATGCCGAGCGGGATCAGAAGACGGCCGATGATGAGATGCAGGTAAGACCAAAATTGGCGACGACCGTACTTCTTGAACTGCACGTGATGGATGTAACCGAAAATGGGCTGGAAGAAGAAAATGGCCAGGAGGACGAGACCGATGATAGGGTGAAAGTTGATGGTGCTGATCTCGAACTTGGGGAAACAAACGTCAGCAAGGAACATCGATGATGAGGGGCATGAAAACACTCACCAGGCTGGTGCCACCAAGTCTGACCATCTGAGTCAGCTGAATACCCAGGGCCGCTGCTGCGATGTAGAGGACGAAGCCGGCCATCTGAATAAGAGCATGCACGATCCAGCCAAAGCGTCCAGGGACGAGTCTCATCGCAACCGAGCCGACGGGAAACACGATGACGAAGGCGATCGTGGCAAGAACTCCGTGAATCCTCCGAATGTGCATCGCTTCTGTGATGTTGAAGCCTACGAAATTGCCAAAGTTTCCACCGAAGCCATTCCCATTGCCGTTGCCATTTCCATTTCCGTTGCCGCTACCCGGGAAATTTGGGAATTGTTGGGCCGTCGCTATTGAGGCTGGTATTGTGTTAGTAGAAGCTACCATACGATTAGAGTGACCGGAACTTACCCAGGACCACAAGGCCGAATAGTGTGAGTGTCGTCGTGCTCATAATGTGTCTTACTCTTTTGCTTTTTCTGCTAAAAGACCAATAAATTCAAATATCGTTTCTTTCTGTTCACCAAGAAAAGTTCTGCAACTTTGACAAGATTGCAAGAAAGCTCAGACTCGAAATAAAGAAAAGAGGTCGGGAAACATTTGACAGGCGGCGCTTATCATTTAACAAGACTACCATGGCGGCGGCGCTATCTTGTCTTGCAAATCCACGGAGCTGTGCTTGGGGATGTGCGAGCACGGCCACGGAACGGTGACCGAGTGACCGACGTGGCCGACAAGCCAATGGCTGAGCCGCCGATTTTCAGATCTTGGCACCTGGGCAGCGCGCACGACCTACGCGTGATGGTGTCATTGGTGGCCGTGACAGAAAGCATGGCTCATCTGCAGCGCAGCGGTGGTCGATCCGAACTTGTTTCCTCCCAATGTCTTCCTGTCGAACTGCGGGTGCGTTCGAGGCGTCAAGAGGATGCCAAGACAGGGATGCCGGGTGTGGCTGAGAGGATCTGAGGGTTCAAGCCTTCCTGTCTCTCGCGGGCACGTCCTCATCTGTTCGTGTTCGTGCTTGTGCTTGCTGACAGGACAGGAAGGATTCTGACAATTTTGTGATGAGCTGAGGGAAGCAGGGTTTCATTGCTGAGTGAGCTGTTTTACAGCTGCCAAGATTGGTCCGTCTGCGGGTTTTCTGTCTGTTGTGATGCCTGTGCATGACGCGGCCGCGAGGCTCGAGTCAAATTGATGTAATGAAGGGACCCTGTGGTTGGTGAAGCCGTCGTTGCGGTTGTGCATGAAACCCGGTTCCTGCAGCAGTCGGCGAAACGGAGCGTCGATGGTCTCACACTGGCTTCTGTTAGTGTCTTTGCCGCTGGTTAGCTATGTGTCCTTATCACAAGCAGTTGGGGGATCGACGTTGGGATTTACCCGGGACGCCGTTTGGGTTCTTTGATACATTATGCTGTATTAATCTGGCGGCGGCCTAGCCACACATTCATGTCTAACTACCTCCCGATGCATCGGGTTCATCCCGCTGAGCGCTCGCCAGTTGGCTTTGCAGCCCACGTTTTCCGACCTGCATCGCCCGTTCAATCTCCCGTTCTTCCTCCCGCAGCCGAGCCTTGCCCATTTCGAGGCTCCGCTGCTGCCTTCGTTTCTGTTCCGCGACCTTGTCCTCATGCTCTCGCAGTGCCTTTTCTCTCCGGTCCCTGGCTTCTCTAGCCTTCCGCGTAGTCTCATCTTCTTCCGCGGTGGTCTCGCCCTCTGGTGGTGGGTCCAGGGTCTGGATGTACGCCTGAATAAGAGGATCTCTTACTTGCACGGGCAGGGAGATGTATCTGATGTCAACCAACAACTGTGGTGGCAGACGCGACAGATTCGTCTTGTTGTTTAATGCAGAAAGCGGTAATGACTTGAGAAGTGTGGCGAGGTCCGTTTTGAGCGTTGCTTGAGGCATCTTTAGACGATTGATATGCTCTCGGTACCACTTCTCGCGGTCTTTGTCTTTGACGTAGGGGTCCGTCATCGCCGGTTCCTTCCGATATTTCCTCTTGAACTCCTGCCAGTAGAGCTTGGGCGATGCCTTTTCCTGCAGTAGTGCCATGTAGGGTATCCGAGGGTCCTTCTTCTCTTCCTTTGCCCGAAGCTCTTTGATCTCTCTGATCTTGTCCTTGGACCACTCCTGCCATGCGTCCTTCCTTGCTTTCATCGTGTTGAGGATTGTGTATCTCGGATCCTCAATGATGTGACCGTCTTCGATAATCTTCTCCCACGTGTTGTACGGGTTTATGTTGAAATCGTCCAAAAGATCCCTGAACAGCGCAACGGCGTCCTCCTGCGAGAACTCTACGCCCTCCGCGCCTTCGGGCCATTCGTCCATGTTTCCGTCATCGTATTCGCCGGGGTCAAGTCCGTACGCCTCGCCCATTGCTTGCAGTTGGAACGCAATGTCAGCCTCGCTAAACTCCACCACTGCGTCATCGGCTGCTTCTTCCGTGCGCTGGCGCTTGGAGTTGTGTCCATCCTCGCCGTCGTCGCCCTCAGCCTCGTCGTCTGTGACTTCGACCTCTTCGTACTCTGAACTGTCGTCATTGCCATCATCGGGCAATCCTTCACTGACTTCGCGAGGCTGTTTTGGTTGCGCCCCGGGAGTTCCCTCCTTGGCGTCCGGACCTGCGCTTGCGATGCCTGCCTTCTCGCGTATCCTGGCCTTGTCCAACTCGAGGATGCCAGGCATCAGCTTCTCGGGGATTCTCCAGTAACTGGCATTCTTGTCCGGGTTATAGACGAATCGGCGACTATACTTTGTTTCGACAAGAATCCAAGGCTCATGTCCGGGTATAGGAGTCTTTGACTTGGGCTTGTCTATGGGTTCCGGACGCGGGCGCCCGTTGTCTCTGCCCCCTCTACCCCCGTGACCGAACCCGCCACGCTGCGCAGCGGGTGGCTGGTTCTGCGCATTGTACTGCGCCAGGTATGCATTTGCAACGTTCGGATCGGAGAGCTGCGGGATCGTCTGGTATTGAAAGAAGCTCGCGGAGGCGGACGGCGGCGCGGATGTTTGAGGTGCAGCGGCAACGGCGTCGGGCGCACTGGGTCTTGTGTATGTCGATTCTTTCGTTTCGGCGTTGTAGTAGTACTTGTGTCCCGTCGGCGCCGTATGCTCAGTCCATCCGGGCAGAAGAGGCGGCAATGGAGCGGCGTTATCTGACGGCTTGTATGTTGACCTGAGCATGTTGAGCAGCACGGCGCGCAAGCGCAGCGAATATGGTTCCGATGTTGATGAAGAAAGCGATTGTTGATTTTTGAAGGTTGATGGCTGCCCAGGAACGAATCAGTGACGGCGAAACGTCGGGTGCCGATAAGATAAGGTCGCCTTGGAGCTGAGGAAGGTACGGATAGCTCAGCTAGCTGCCCCAGTGACCCCTGCATCTCCGAACCGTCGCAGCTCGGCGAGTGACCAGCTGTCGGATTCTCCCAATCAAATGCTGAACGCCACATACGATACGCAGAGCACCCCCCTTGATGTTCGTACCAATTCGATCAAACTAGGGGACAAATCGGTCCGGAGGATCTGCAGATTGATCAAGTGACGGTTGATAGTCTCTGGCGCTTTGCTTGCAACTGGATTGTGTCTACTGCCGTTTCTGTCTCCGTCTCCGTTGTCTCTTTCGTTCACTCCTGCCTTTGTCTGGTGTTGTCGATGCTCAACACACTGCTTCGCGCCTGCAGAGGGTGACTTTTCACGATGGCGCCCGGTCGTTCTGCATCAAGCGGGAATGCTGCGGCATCCGCATTCTCTCGTTTCTGGAAGGTATGTTTGCCTCTAATTACAGCGAGTTTGCTGGACCTGTTTAACTCGAGTCTCAGAGAACCCATGCGCCAGACTACCTGGGTTTCGCCATTCTGCTTGGTACCTGGATGCTGGTAGGCCACAACGCGACTGGTTGCGCCAAAGAGCTTGTTGTTAACTTTGTTGACTCAGATGCTTGTCTTCCTCGAGCCGTTCCACCGCATGTTCTTCATTAACGATCTTCGCATCTCTTATCCCCATGCAGAAGTTGAGCGTGTGCCTGTGTGTAAGTTCAACTCAATTTCTCATCTATTTGTGTGGTGTAATTGACCAGGATTGCAGACATGAACTTTGTTTACGCCCTCTTCGTGCCGCTGGGCGTTCTAATTATCTACAACCTTATGACGAAGGCTTCACCTCATAAGCATGAGGTTACCTACTTGAGCCTTGGTATCTCCGTCATCATGACCTCCTTCATCACAGACCTAATCAAGAACGCTGTTGGCCGACCAAGGCCCGACCTTTTGGCAAGATGTAAGCCTGCCGCTGGCACCAAGCCCGACCTGCTTGTCACCATCGACGTCTGCACAGAGAAGGCCCATCACCTCCTACATGATGGTTGGCGGTCCTTCCCCTCCGGTCACTCGTCCTTCTCCTTCGCTGGCCTCGGGTTCCTCAGCATTTTCCTCGCTGGCCAGCTGCACATCTTCCGCCACAACAGCGGCGGCCGTGATCTGAGCCGGGCGTTGATCTGTCTGGTGCCCCTACTTGGGGCTGCCTTGATTGCCATCAGCCGGTGCGAGGATTACCGACACGACGTTTACGACGTATGCGTGGGATCTCTGCTAGGATGGGTGGTTGCGTATTGGAGTTATCGACGACACTGGCCTAAGTTGACTGCGAAGGAATGTCATGAGCCTCATCCATACCCAGGTTCGGAGCCAAGGGCAGGCTGGAATCGACTGCGTGACGAGGAGGAAGCTGGGGATTCACGACCCGACGTAGGCTATGAATTAACCCAGCTAGACAGCCAAAGACGCTAATCACAGCAAGTAGGGTCCGCCGTAGAGTTCGAATGATACAGCATCACTACCAACAGCATCAGCATAGGCATCGAAACAGCGCCAGCCAGCAACGCATCTTCTCACCAACCTTTGCATTGATTTCGTGCATCCCTGCCTTGGATTACTTGCGTTGCCTTTATTGCCTTCATCATTGTCATTGTTGATACTATCTTCGCCTTCCTCGTTTGCGTTGCGCTTCCATCATATATCTGCCTTCACGGTTTGGTCTGTTGAACATGTCACATTACTGGATACATAGGGATACCATGGCTACGCATATGCACTGGCATCAATCAGCCTGTCTGGGGTTTGGGGCATCAATTCTATTGGTACATCAGGGTAAAGGGCATCCATCACGCCCAATCTATGTTTTGATTCTCATCATGCCATTATTTGTCCTCCGTAGACTCATCCTTCGCCAAGTCGTGCTCCTTCAGCAGTTCCTTGATCTCCTCCGCTGTCCAGAGGCGGTGGTAGATCTTGCCATCTTCCGTCTGGCCGACCGTGGCGAACTCGACTGTGGTGGTCGATTAGCAAACGAAGAACACCATGCAGTATTCGAAAAGAACTCACGCTTCTCAGCACTCAACTTTGTCGAGTCCATGGTCTTGCTCAGAACCTTGACCGCCATACCGCATGCCTCCTTCAGGGTGCAGTCCTCCTTGTAGTCCTGCTTGAGCAAGCTCTCAGCGCTAGCTCTGTTCGCACCAACGGCCGTAGCCTTCCATCCACCGTAGTTGCCTGAAGGGTTGCTCTGGTACAGCTGGAATTGTCTGCGGGGGTCCCAGCCGGCGTAGATGAAGGAAACACCGAACGGTCTGAGACCACCGTGTTGTGTGTAGCCCTGCTTGAGGTCGCAGAGTCTTCGGACGAGCTGTTCGCAGGGGATATCTTCGTTGTAGGTGAGGAGGTATCTTTGGGCGGCCTGGCGGGCATAGTTGATGAGAATGTTGGCATCGGCCGTCATACCAGCAACGGCAGCAAGCATGTTGCTAGAGAAGAGGTGGGTAAGTTAGTTGCTGCTATCGTAATGCCGTCCTCCAAAGAAAAAGAACCCAGGAAGCAAAGTTACATACTCGTTGACGATGTACAGCTTCTCGGCGGATGTGTCTTGCTCCAACAGCTTCGACGTCACCTTGCGCTCTGCAGCAAGAACGATTCCGTCCTTGGCGAGGATGCCAATGGCAGTGCCGGCGTGGGAGATGGCCTCGAGCGCATATTCGACCTGGTAGAGACGGCCCTCCGGCGAGAAGATGGTTGTCTGGAGACATTGTGTAAGTTTGCTGCTTCACCTTTGAATCGGTAGGTCTGCGGGCATAGCAGAGCAAGGGAAGAGCGGGGAGGGGCCTTACGCGGGAATCGTAACGACGAGACATGGCGGGCGACTGGTCAAATTGGCATCAACAGTATCCGGGCGGTGTATTTGCGGTGGCAGCGGACTCGTGGTGAGGCCGACGAAAATGGATTTGTTGTGCGGCGGAATGTGTTGTTTGTCGATTGGCAGGGAAGGCTGTTGCTTTGGGTGCAGCTTGAAGCTCCAGGCAATCGATGCACGCGTTAGCTCCTGTGTTGCGCCTGCCCAGCCAGCCTGGACCCCAGCTGAGGTAAGAGCCAGCCCGGTGCAGTCGGGTACTTTCCACTTCGTACCTCCATTTGGGATTGCTGGCCCGAGCTTTTGCCGGGCGCCAGGTGAGCACAGGATTCTTACCTCATCGAATGGTGGCTCACCGAAGTGGAAACTCACCGAGCCGGGAAGAACATCAAGGTGTGACGCCGGACCAAGCTATATCCTGCCTGAGGCAGAAATGATGCCCCCCGCCATTAGCAAAGCGCACGGCTCGGCTGGCGAGCTGCTCCTTCTGCACCTCAGCGGAAGGCCCAAGCCAGCGGTGCTGATTTGCTTACCTAACAGCGCAAAGAGTGGAGGCGATTCGGCATTTTCCCTCCAACCTCGCGCCGTTTTATCGCATCTACCGCCAGCCCACTCACATCCACGCCCGTCACCTCCACCTTTGCGCAAGCTCCCTTCTGCTCTCCCACACAACAGAAAAAAAGCGGCACGCGAACACCTCAACGCCCACTTCCAGACTCTGATTCGGCTGTCGCGAACTGTGTCGCGCGACCGCTGCTTCTTCATCTTGTGCTCGAGATTCTTGTGACAGACCGCTTCAGACAGGATCCGCGTGGCCGGCGCTCGCTTCTCGCGTTGAGCAACAGCATCCGGGGCATCTGTCGCGGCGCGTGGTGGATGGGTCACATATCTTTAGTCCTTCTCGCTGTCGTGAAAAAATCAATGCATGCCTAAGAGAGAACACCACTGCTCCTTTTTGTACCAGCAACCAGAGTAGACGGAAGCCCAATCCTTCAAGCCATACCTACCTGCCTCTCCCCCCGCCACAGCCGACCGTACCTACCCTACCTACCTACCTTACCTTAGCAAAGGGAGACGCACGGCAAGAAGCCTTCCCGCCGTCGACAAAGCGAACATGTCCGGTAAGTACTGCAGCTTCCGTCGCGCAGCCCCGCCCAAACAGCCAACCACCCCTCGCACCTTTCGCACTTTCCAAACCCCCAATCCCTCCTGCCTGGTACACTTCGCGTTGCGCCTCAGCATGATCATCGACAGTCACTAACAGATATGCCACGCAAAGGAGAACCGGAGCCTCGCCGCTCAGTGCGCGCGACCAAGGGCCAGCACACCAAGGCCTTCGACGACCAACCGATCGAACCTCCCAAGAAGCGAGGGAGGAAGAAGAAGCAGGAGGAGGAGCCCGAGGAGGAGATTATCCGTTGCGTCTGCGGCGCGACCGAGCAGGACGGCGACTCTGAAGAGCCCTGGATCGCATGCGACAAATGCACTGCGTGGCAGCACAATGTTTGTATGGGTATGAGTGTCTTCACGGAAGACCTCCCTAAGAACTACTACTGCGAACAATGCGCTCCACAAGATCACAAGGAGCTCCTGGCCGCCATGTCCAAGGGCGAGCGCCCCTGGGAGGCCCGCCGCAAGGCCTACGAGGACGAACAGAACGAGAAGAAGAAGAAAAAGAAGAAGGGCGGCAGGGCTGGCAAGCGTGCCAGCGATCCCAAGGAGGACTTATCGCAGGACGCCAGGAGTAACAAGGCAGAAGACTCTCCCGCTCCGTCGGAGACCAAGGAGAAGAAGGAGAAGAAGGACGGCGCAGCGAAGCCATCCACCGGCAAGCGGAAGGTTCGCGACGAAGAGAAGGATACGAAGGTTGGTTACAACTCGTCCAGATCGCAAGGCCAATGTGCTGACTTGGTACTATCACAGGTTTCCAACCAGAAGATGCGCAAGCTTTCCGAACCCGAGGCTGCAATCGTCAATTATACCCCGCCGGCAGACCTGACTGCCAAGATTACAGACCTCCCGGACGATCGCAAGGGCTCTGCGCAGCTGCTTCAGAAGGCCCTTGTCGGCGTCCTCACCGCTGCCGTCAAGGACAAGAGTGTTACTTTGCCCAAAGATGTTACTGTTGCGGCCAAGGCCGAGCGTTTGGCTCTCGAAATCGAACGTGCGGTTCATGATACTCACGCCGACCGCAGCCACTACGCTCAGCAGGCCAGGGCACTGTACGCCAACATCAAGATCAATGCCGACTTGACCAAGCGTCTTTTGAAGCGCACCTTGTCTCCGCCCATGCTGGCCACCATGAGCGCCGACGAACTGGCTACCAAGGAGAGGCAAGATGCGAATGCGCAGCTGAAGGCCATCTCCGAGAAGCAGTCCATTCTGATCACGGAGGAGGGACCTAGGGTGCGCAGAACACACAAGGGCGAAGAGGTTGTCGAGAATGAGTCCTTTCAACAGTCTGACGATGCTCGCTCATTTATCAGGAGGCCTAGCGCTCGAGATGGTGAGGCAAAGACAGATGGGGAGGCGGACCCTCATAGTGGGCTGCAAATTGACACGCACGGCGCTCGGCACTCGCCCAAGCATCCCGACTTTGACATCAACAAGGTCTTCTCGAGCGTCAAGTCTCCCACCGGAGGCCATATCCGCCGGCCCTCGGCGCCGCTCCACGGACCCGGCGTTGATCCCGATGTTGACAGACTGCTTCAGGAAGAGACGGACTCCCCGCCATACTCACCCACGGACGAGACAGACCCGGACGTGGTATGGCGAGGCCATGTTGTCATGAGCTCAATCACCGATTTTCCCGCAGCGGCCAAGTTTGTCGCGGGAGCGAACCTGGCGAACACCATTGGCCTACCATGGACGAGTTTGATCCCCAGGAGGTTGACGGTAGCCGGACGCATAGATGAGCAGAAGGCGATAGAATACCTCTGCGGTCTACGCTACGCCGACCAGACCGACATAGTGGTCGTGGCCTTGTCGCCAGCTTCTGAGGCGTCCCGGGGCGACTTTCAACAGCTCTTCAATTACTTTGTAGGCAAGAAGCGATACGCAGTCATTGGGGATAAGGGCTTGGCCAACGTCCGGGACACGTATCTAGTTCCCGTTCCGCCAGGCGAGGGCAACTTGCCCGAGTTTATGCTCAACTTTTCGGACAACGTCGTACCGCCGAAGCGGACAGAGCCGATGCTCCTGGGCGTGTTTGTGTACAGGAACAACCCGCGACAGGCACAGCCAGTCAGCGCGACCAGGTCGCCGGTCGCGAACTCACCCACGCCGACCCAAGCTGGTTTCCCGGCGAGGCATCCTTCGATATCTGGCCCGGCCTTTTCGCCGACTGTTCCGCAAGGACCGTTTGCGCAACCTGGTCTTCCCGCGGCCGGTCACAACGGCCACGCACCGCAGCATCCTACGCAGGGCGCGCATCAAGCGGTGCCTCCGAACCAAGCGCCGGCGGGCTACACCGCGGCAAGAGGGCCGGAGGCCGAGCAAGACAGACGCCAACGTGAGGGCCAAGCCCTGGCTCATGAGGTATTAGGTCCCTTGGTCAATAGCAGGACTGTTCCCTTTTTGATGCCACATGCTCATGCAATGACCCGGACAGAATGGGAAGTGATCAAGGGCATTTACGACAGAGACCCGAAAGCCAGAGAAGATTTACAATACTTGAGCCAACTGCTCGAGAAACAGCAGCCTGTCAAGGCCGGCGACGCTCCTGCAGCCGCGGCGCCTCATGGAGTTGCGCCGTCAGCATGAGCGCGCCGTGTTCATGCGTCTCCGGAGCATGCAACAACTGGCGTCTATGCGGCTGCCACGGTACATAGTTCGTTTGGAGTTTTACTGTTTGAAGGACAGCTTCTACTTGGGTTCAAGGGGTGGAGATACCATTCCCAGCGAGGGAAGAGAGGCCTGGAAAGGCAGAGGGTTTTTTTTCTTGCTAGTACTGTTACAACTATCAATTCTAGGCAAATGGTTCTATTCCGCCAGTTTGAATGTGAAATGTTGACGTGTCAGAGTCGCCGCAAAGCCAAGTCGACCGGTGCCATTTCAAGGCTTGACACTGGCTCACTGCTGTCTCATTGGATGAAACACATCATTGGCTGTAAACAACAGAGTTGCGACCATAGCGATGAAAGACCATCAAGAGACAATGCCGAAAAGACCGTGAAGACGATGAAAGCTTCGAGGACTCTCTGGGAGACCCTGCCAAGATGTCTCATCTCGGTCATCTCCAGCGCTGGGGACGTAGCGAGTCAACAGCCCGGCAAGGCGTTGTACAGTCTCCATTGACTCACTGAAACGGACGATACACTGTGGCAATCTCCCACCTCCCGATGCTCAAGCTTCCCTGCTCTAATTCCCGTTATAACCCCCGCCCTTTCACTGCCACCTGGCTGTGCCAGAAACCAGTCGCGTCTTCAGCCACAGTCGACAACATACTAAGCTCCAAGCTAGCTACTGGCTGCTCTTCTGCATTTCAAGCCGTCTTTGCCCCACATACATGACGACAAGTGCTACATGGGGATCTTTTGGAGCAGGGAAGCGTTAGCAAACAAGCAGAGAACAAGCATTCTATTTAAGGCTGCGCGCCGACTGGGTCCGGCACCGCTTTTCTCCTTTTGGGGTGCATAGGGACCATCGCTGTGCATAGGCTTTATAATTTACGTATCCCCATTTCAGAACGCTTCGGTCGCTTCTTTACTGCAACTTTCCTCATCTTTCTCTTTGCTACTTCCGGGTAACAGCACGATTGTTTTTGTCAGTCAGCCGACGTGACGTCACCGTCATCATGTCCCACTTTCAATAACTCAAACGCTGACATCGAGATAAAGCAGATTTTCTTCACACCGAACCAATATCACCACAACACGAACATCACAACACCACGATGGCTTGCGGATCAACTTCTACCGGCCTCGTCAACCGCAACGGCCCTGGAAGCGCAGCTTCTTCCATCGTCGAGAGCATCGTCAAGCCTGCCGAGGCCACCGGCGGCAAAGCCAAGTGTTTCGAGGTATGTACACGAGAACAGATGGGCGTGGTACTCGGCGAAACCCTTTTCGTGGCCCGAGGGCCAGGTAGTGCAAAGTTCGCTGCCCGTGCTTCTTTTTGAGTAGCTCTAGATGTTCGATCTGCTCTCCCTCCCCGGCCTGCCCTCTGCCTCTGGGATACCCAGTACCCTCTGCTTTATGGACCTCCTCGGCCCCTCTTCCTCCTCTTCAAAGGCCGCGGTCACGGCGAGGAAGAGCTAAGGGTAAGCAAGCAAGCAGGGGGTAGGTCGGCAGGCAAGGAGCAGGTACAGAGCAGAGCACCAGAGAGCACGGCAGACATCAACACACAACGATAGAATACTGTACTAACGTCGAATTACGCAGTGTGACGGAGTAGAATGTTGCTGTATCCCGTATGTTTGCCCTATTCGACTTCATTTGCATTAGCTGACGTCGCTTGTTTAGAATCCCTTGCACTGTCATGTAAAGATGACATGTGACCAGACATGAATCATGGAATTGGACAACATGAGAATGCTAAATTGGATCGATGATACCGTTTTCTGGAGTCAGTAGCCGTGCGGAACTTTGTTTAGGCGTAATTTTTAAAAAATCAAGAGCATTTGGGCTTTGATTTGACTTGCACTTTCGCCTTATATGATGCCGTAGATGTGGTTGCATATCCACGCCTCATTAACAAACATATTGAGATCTCTCTAGTGTTACAAATAAACTGAGACCCGTCTGGAAACTGCTCTCATGCTGACTTTGCGCCCAGGTTTTTAATTCGAACGCCGCAAGTGGCCATAAAACTGCACCCGCAGGCTCCGGGCTCACGGCCGAAGACCCGGAAAATACCGCCCCACTCCCGGTCCGGGTGCCCCATGGGCAACCGCCGCAGCCTGCGGGGTGCTTGCCGGTGACCTCCTTGCTAAGCAAACCATTGCTTTATTATGCATATAGTGCCTTGCATTCCTATCAAAAGTTAAAATTTTTGAGCAACCCTCCCTCACTTCACTCTTCATCATCCTGGTGTCTGTAAAGACTCAACCTACTCTCAATCTGTGTATTCTCCTTTCCCGTCTCCTTCTCGTCTCCTATCGTTACCATTATTATACTCGTCCTCCGCTTAAAAAGCTGTTCCATTACAATAGCATAATTCACTCACGATGGCGAACCCTGAATTCAACAAAGCGACCATGCCCGTCATTACTGGATACGATCACATCTGGAGGGCGTATCACTTAGGTGAGCAAGACGAGACTTTATGGTGACCGCAGAGTTCTTTACAGAGCCGAGATTGGGCTCTTGCTATCAGGCCGAAAGACACTAATTTCTAGCGTACAGCCCTGTTGAAGCATTTAGGTACACCGGGGAGGCTGTTCACCTTTAGTACGAGATCCTGAAGGATTGTCACGATACTTCAACGATACGTGAGCAAGCCCGTATGCAAACTAAGCCATAACAGCGAAAGGAGGTTTTGGGACCGGCACCGAACAGGACCGTAAAAATGACGAGGACATTACGAAATTGATGTGAGTAGCATTGCTGTTGAGCTCCTTGATCGCATCATCCGGCCTCCTGATTATATGACTTGGATGCTTTCCCGTGCCACTCACTAACAGTGGACAGCGCTGAGTAAAACGCCATGACTGACATCTAGACTGTATAGCTGGAGGGGGCCAAGCGGACGTAACAGGCCGCCCAGGATGACGGCAACCGTGGGGCTATGCTTCCCTCTCCTCGGCTACTGCTGCCACGTTCTGCCGACGCTGGTGTGTTCCTCACTTCCACTCAGGATGAGGATGCGCCCAACACTTCCAGCTGCACCACTAAGTCCCCTCAGGTTCGGCCCCAGTCCCAGTGCGACATAGCAATCGAGACCGCCTTCCTGCCGCACCAGCGCATCCATATGAATATCAGACAAAGTGCTGTAATACTCCTGCGATGATGAACAACGGCAGCAAGCTGCCAGAAAAGATAGGGTTCATGAAAGTACAGCGGCCAGAGGGCCTGTTGTCCAATACGAAGGGTGTTGGGGGTGCACCAGAGGCGTCCCGCACCTATTTTCGGGTACTTCATATTGTAAAAAGGAGGTAAAGGGAATATACGATGCAGCTGCATGGGATCAAAGATGGTATCGAATAAGTTGGGTCGCAATGAAATTGTGCGTGTTGGAATCTGGTTATTTAACTGGTATAGACAACTGCCTAGTCAGCCTGACATAAATTCATGAACTGCCCTCCGGGGCCTTCTTGTAAGTTAGCTGCGTTGTTCGTCACCCGCGCGTGTCCTCATGCGATGTTTTCCACAACTGCACCAAGTTGACCACCATGTCCAGTTACTCTCACGAGTAGTACCTTGAAATGTGTCAACTTTGGATGCGTCTGATATCACACCAGCTCTCCAGGCAGAAGAGCTCCTGAAGTCTAACTTGGAGGTTGGGCAATACCATTATGCGCCTCCAGCCTCGGCGCCCAATGACAGGTTCTCCTGCCAGTGTCGGTGCCACATTCCCTTCCATGACTGCAAGATTATGACTTTGGCCCATGTCAAGGTCTCCGACAGGATTCCAAAATCTCGTCTGTTGTCCGCTCGAAATACTGTGGGATTTCCCCCTTAGCCGTAGGATACTTGTTTTTAAAGGTATGTTCTGTGCGACTTTGGCCTTTGGGCAAGTAGTGCAAGAGATATTTCACAAGCTCTTGCCAGGGCCGCTGAAAGACGCAGCCCCAGCATCGCTCTCCTAGTCGAGATGCATCTCTTTCAAGCTCGCGAGGCACCTTTTCTTAGCCTCAATTTCCTTTTCCTTGGCGTCATGTAACCGTGCCAGGGCCGTAAGTAAATTTTCCTCAGTATCCTCTGTGCGAGGTTGGACGCCTGAAGCCTGCTGTTCGGGCACCGGGCTCTCGTTCACGTTCTCATAGGGTACCTCTTCGCTCCCTGTCTAGAGAAACATGGCGTCTGCGGTAGCCCAAACCTCCAGCTCGCGTGCCGTGGCTGCCGCCTTCAGCTCTTCTGGTGTCATCTCTCCATCTACAGTCGAGCTGATCACTTCCGGGACTTTGGGGATCTCGATGCTGCCCAAACCTTCCAACAGGCGCTTCGCCTTGTCAACCTGAGCACTGATGGCCGCCGTCTCCGCTCTTGTTCGATCGAGGTGGGATTGCATCATCGCAATGGCAGATTCGCGGGCTTGGTGGGGTCGGTATTCGTTGAGGACGTGGTGGAAGTTGATAAACAGCGTTCTGAGATCTTCGACCTTGGCTTGGCCCTGCTACGGTCAGCGGAGGTCGGGCGTGCGGGAACATGGCAGAGGGCTTACATCGTCTGGCGTGGTGGCCATGACGCTGACCAGCTCGAGGAAATTCATCAGGATGGACTTCGCCATCTTCTTGAGCTCAAACGCACGGTCAAGGTGCTTGCCGTCCTTCTCCTCGGGTGGAGCAGGGGCAAGTCGCTGAATCTCGCCCTCTTCCAGCGACGGCAGTTTGTCGTCAAGCTAGACAGACGTTAGCTTGCAAAGAATGCGACAGCCGTCAGAGTCGCAACCCACAGTATAATTGGCCCCAAAAACCTTCCACGTGCCAGAAGCTGGCTCGGATGGGGGGTTCAGATTGATGAGCTCCTCTGGAATATTGGGTATGCGCGGCGGCAAGTCCTTTACGTCGACGCCATCCTTCTCAGCCTGGGCCTTGCGCAGGTCCTCGATGCGAGCCAACTTCTCGGGTGTAAAGTCCTTCCAGAAGGGAGGCGGGTTCGGGAAGGTTGCGGCCACCGCATTCTGCGATGGCTCCTCGGGGTTGTCGGCCATGTTTGCGAAAGTCGAGCGAGGTTTCTGAGTCGGCTTGGAGCGTGGGATGGATTCAATGAAGCGGGGTGGTCATTGTCTTGATTGTCTGAGAGACTGTGTCTGTCCACGTGTCTCTGCCTCTAAAGGCGGCGCAAAGTTGGAGGGATGAAGAGTGCCTTCCCAGGTCGACAAGGTTGGCTTTCAAGGAACGCGACTACCTCATGGAGCGCGCAAACAGGTCCGGCAGGCGCCCGAGCCACCAGGGTAGCGTCGGTAGGTCTTTCCCCCCATCCAGCTGATCTAATCCGGATGTGGCTTAGCGTCAACTGTCCCACCTTGTCAACTCCACGTCCCCAGCAGACAGCTGCGCTACGTCGCTCTGGCGATAATTAGCTTGCCGAACGATGATTTCATCCCCTTTCGATTCTTCAACGCCAACAAGCCATTGAGCACTCCCACCCTTATACCCGGCCCCGAAACTTTCCTGCGCGCTCTCAGGCGTCAGAAAGACGCACTCCTTTCATCATGGCCGACGTTCGTTCCCTCCTCCGTCAGCAACGCGCTGCTCGACGAATCGAACATCCCCACGCGGCATACTCAGATGCGGGCAAGCTCCTCTGCACACTCTGCCACGAAGCTATCAAGTCCGAATCTCTTTGGGAAGGCCACCTGAGAGGCCCAGGTCATGCAGGAAAGATCAAAACCCTCCAGCAAGCTGCATCGACCACCACAAATGGCTCGGCAACCGCGGACGCCGCCCCATCCAACAAGCGAAAACACGACTCGGACGAGGATATGCCAGAAGACGAAGACATGGCTGAAGCTGTGCGGAAGAAGAAGAGCAGGACGAATATGAGCACTCCGGCTCGCTTGTCCGCTGGCGAGGCGGATCGCGACCTGAAGGACGTGACACTGACGCCTCCGTCGCTGACTCGCCGGACATCGACAACGCCCGTTCAAGGCGTCGAGATCCAAATTCCCTCCCGACCTGCGACGCCCGCGCATAAGGACGGCAACTCTTCCAACTCCACTCCCCTCAACCAGCCTGTTGGCCCATCACCACTGATCCCTAGAGAGGCATCGCCCACACTGGCGAGAACGAAGGCGCCGCCCCAGCAAAACGGTACGGCCGCACCGGCTGAGGCTGCAGGCCAGGTGGATGAAGATGAGTGGGCAGCCTTTGAGGCGGATATTGCAGCTACAACAGCGCCAGTGTCAGAAGACGCGGTGATATCCGCCCCGGCAATGACTGCGGAGGAACACGCAGAGGCTGCAAAGACAGAAGAGGAGGAGCGAGAGAAACGCCGGCTTGCTGCGGAGAAGGATCTTGAGGACGAGAAGGAGGAGGCTACGCGAGCCTTGGAAGAGGAATTCGAGGATATGGAAGAGCTCGAGGCGAGAGTCAGGCGGTTGAAGGAGAAACGCGAGGCCCTGAGACACCAAGGAGATGCCGGTTCCGGTCCCGCCTCCAGCACTGTTGTTGCTGCCAAACCTACTGAGGCAGACGGAAAGGAGAATGTAAAAGCGAATGCCGAGGAGGAGGAAGAGGACGATGACGATGATGAAGACGAGGATGACTTCATGGGCTTCCGGTATCGCTCATGACATCCGGCGTCTAGTCTGAAGTCATTGCTGCCAGGTCATAAGACGGCGAACAGGTGTTTTCAAGCGGAAGGTCAGGGCGTCTTTTTGGTGTATAAATACTGTAAATTACCTTCTCTTCGGGTTGATAACATTGACGTCCTGTAATGCCTATAGGCACTTTGGGAACATTCAACAATTACCTAGCTTGCGCCGTGTTCATATGCTGATTCAAATCAGCGGCTGTGAGGACGGGCTTAGCTGTCAGGATACCAGCGGACTGTAGTGGTGGTTGAACATACCGATCTGAACTCCCAGATGAGGAATCGTTCTTGTTGTTGTTGGGGTGTAAGCCATTCAATAACCTAAACGCAGGCCACGCTAAAAGGGTGAAAGTGCAGAGATGGTCAGTAACGCCCTCATCTCATGTGCGACTCACATTGAATTTCAACCGACGGGTCTCAAGAACCTATGCATTACTATATCAAAAACTCCATCTATGAGTAAACATTACTTTTACAGGTATCCTCGGTCGTGGGGAATTACAATCGCCGACCCCTTATCCCCTTCCTACATCACTTCTTTCCAACAAAAAAGACGGACAAATGCAACCGTGGTACAGTTACTAGATCAGAACGCAACTGTCGCCGTCGGTGCGCGAGGGACATGCGCCGGAGCGGTCGAGGCCGCCGTGCTCTGGTAGACAGTCGCCGTGACGGTGTTGTAAACGGTGACAAAGGCCACAGAGATGGGGCACACCGAGTTGGAGGGCTCAGCTGTGAAAGTCGTCGTGGCGGTGACGGGAGGCTGAGGCGGCGTAGTAGGCTTCACGCAGTGGGTGCCGTCCCAGTGCTCGCAGTGGTGTGTGCTCGTAGTCGGCTCGGGTCCAGAGCTACTCTCCTGACCGCCGCTGCTCTGGGAAGGCATCTCGCTGGTGTGAGAAGGCCCAGGCTTGTCGCTGGTGTTTCCGGGCGGGTGTGTGGGCTTGACGGACTCGACGGTTGTCTTGATGGTTGTCGCAGAGCCGGTGAGGGTGACTGTCGTAGGCTCGTAGGTGTTGTTATCGGGCGTCTCTGACGGGCTATCACCCTCACTGGATGTGGTAGAACCGCCTTGGGTAGCTGTAGCAGAGCTGCTCTTAGAGTCGGTAGAGCTACCGCGATGAGGCGGCTTGGTCTCAGAGCTACCGTGTGCGTGAGTCTTGGTTTGGTCGTCGTCTGAAGGAGGCTGCGACTTGGTTGTGACTGAGCCGTCAGGCCTTTCGCTGACAGTCTCAGTGCAGGTGACTGTGACCGTCTCAGGTGGAGGGGCAGAAGAGCCCTGGCTGACGTAGAACGTCTCGGTAATCGGTGAGCGGGTGACGGTGAGGGTGAAGGTCTGGGAGGCTGTGATAGTCTCTCTGATCACCGGAGCAGTGGCCTCAACAGTCTCAGTCTTGGCAGTCGTAGTCGTAGCGGTGGCAGTGACTGTCACGGTGCTGGGCTCCGGCGCAGGCACACACGGGCAGGTGTTGGTGTCTGGGTAGGTGCGTCCTCTCAAGTTCTCAGGTCTGGCAGCGGCAATTGCAGTGAAGGAGAGGATGGCCGCGGCCACGACGTTGCCTTGACGAAGCATTTTGATGGCGAAGTGAGAATGGATGGGTACCTAAGGCAAGCTGAAACTTCCAGAAGAGGGTCGGTAAGACGAAAGGATAGCGTATAAGCTGCTGCGAGGCCGACTGGTTGTTGAAGGCTTGCTTGTTTGTTTTGTCTGAGTGAAGCTGTTGCTGTTGATGAAAAGAAGTCTCCATGAGGAGATAAGACTTCTTATATGGCAGTCGTTCAGTTGGATCATCCTCAAGGAGTATACAGCAGGCCTTGACAGCCTTGCTGAGATTCATGATTATCCATCATGGTGGAATGACGCTGCCCTGTATTGCGACCTAGCGCTTGACGAACAGCAATAGAGCTTGCCACAGCTTTGAGAGAACAGGAGACCAAATATTTCAGACGGCCTCAAGAGGGATGTGAAAATTGCGTCACATTTCTCTCAGCTACTGGACTGTCGCTCACTTAAGCCTTTGCCTGGTACCAAAAGAGTAAACCACAGAGCACTTGGGGGCAAAGCAAGGGTTTCACAGAACCAATAGTGTGTGTGGTCAAAACGTCCCAAGGGACCAGGGAGAAAACAATATTGAAGAAGATCAAAGCACCGGTATTGGGGTACACGTTCCAAGGGATGCTTCCGCTTCCACCCTCTGGCCGATGAGCCGATAAGATACGGCATACGGCACCGGCATCTTCGCACCGGGGACGACCACGACGATGGCGACGACGATGCAATACTGATGGATCAATCTATTTTCCGGTGGAGATGGCTTGCCAGGACAGAGTCAAAGACCGTGGTTCCGATCGAGTACGTACCAATAGGGTGTTCGGCGGTTGTCCGGTGCAAGAAAGCGATGGCCAGTTCGGGATGTTTGCAAGGTCCAGGTTCCAAAGGCTTTGCCGGGTCTCTTTTCCAACAGTCTGGAAATCGTCCCAAAGACTGCAAACTCGATGGAGACCTCGGCGCTGGCCGTCCCGTCCCGCTGTGGGGCCCGTCATCTCGGCATCTCTGATTCTCCGGGCTGCCGAGGCCGACCGCCTGCCCAAAGCGGGACGTCATTCCATCCTTCGCAATCTTGTGTTTTCTGCCAACCGCATCGCAATCAAAACACACGCCATCAATCAAGCATCTCGAGCCTAGCGTCTGGCTATCGTACTGCAGCACGAGGCTTTGGTGGCATAGCTACGTCCATTCTTTTTCCATGCGATTTTCTACTTGAAGTAACGACCTCCGACTTGCGCGCGCGCTCCCGACTGCTGCGCCCGCAACCACGCAACCGACGACGATTACGGCGACGAGGGGCAACCGGATCACTCGATCGTGATGGGTGCTTGTGCGTCATGCCTTGGGCGGGGGAACAAGGACGTCTATGACGAGGTGGGTTGCGTTGCACTTCTTCACCCACTTGACAGGGTAGTATGCAGCGGCGGCTAACTAGCCCTCTTTTTTCTCCCCTCTCCAGGACGAAGAATCACGACTCCTCTACGACGATCCGAACAACGTACACTATGGAAGCTTTGGCGAGCAGAGCGTAAACGGTCAGGAGGACCCGATGGAGGTGCAGCGAGAGACTGAGGCTCTGCAGCGAGTTGTGGCAAAGACATCCGAGTACGTACTGCGTCGTGCGTACTGCGCACTCCCCTCCGACGACGACCCAAGCTCCGGGACGGCGGGCTTGGTCTTCATGTCCCTCCCAGGAATGCTAACATCGGTCTTCCTAGCAACATGGTCGACATCTTCGAGATTGCCCCGCAGGATCACGCACATCGACCTGCACCGACTACGTTTGCGTATGCAGGGCAGGAAGCCCGCATCGTACGGTACCAGCACTTGTTGTCCAAACTGGATTCCAAGGATGAGACCCCAACAGGTGTCCAAGTGGATTGGCTTCCCCAGGAAGACGACACCATCGAGATGCAACGCGGCGTTCCGACCGTCAAGACAGAGTTGGACAAGCCCCTGGTTGGCACATTTGCAGATGCAGCGGCGGCCATGGCATGACATGCACCAGGTCATGAATCATTTCCCCTGCCCAATATCTGCTCCTGTTTTTGTTCCTGTTTTGCACTGCATTGTTAACCCACGGCGAGAGCGGCTATGCGTTTCCCCTTTTCTGGTTCTTGTATTGCTACTAAGTTTCGGATTGGTCGACATCGAGCCCTGGGTCCTGTCGGTATTACGGCAAACATGGGACGGACAGCTTGGAGTGACGACATTTTTTGCCCATGCTCTTCTTTTTTACCCCCTCGATACCCCCTCTTCGAATGCAGGCTATGCACACACAAACTCAACGCTTTTCAACCACAAAAAAAATACCCACACATACACCCATAGGACACCCACATTCTCTCACATATCGCTTCCTCTTCACTTTGTCAATCCCCTGTATTGGTCTGCCACCCCTGTATAAAACGCCTGGGCAACAACGAGGTTATGAGGAAAAGGTGGACACGATGGGCCCCAGAAACCCATGACTTAATCAATGAAAATTCCCTCCATCCCACTTTGGCGGCCCCCTGGTTCGCACCATGTCGGGCCAATGACTGCGTCTCGAAGATTCTTCAGCGGCAGGCCATGGGTTGACTAGCCCATTGAAATATGGCCACGTGCACCTCCGGCTGATGTTTACCTTTTCTAGTGTGGACCCTTTGGCAAGGGATGTTGCATCCTAGTCTGTTCCATGGTTGGAGGCGTAGCGTTCTTAGCCTCAATTCGGACCAGCATTCGAGGCTGGAGGGCAGGTTACGTCTTTATGGAGGGGAAAACAGGAGGGAAGCACTTGGAGGCTCACATATTCGCTCTGATGCCCGCCATTCAGGGTTGTGCGGGAGTCTGTGCGGTTCCCGAGTCTTATTGGCGGAGATGAGACAAGGAAATGGTGCCTTGAAGTGAAGTGGGATGGACGACATGAAGATGAGGGGTGGTTGCTGCGGCCAGATGGGGCGGCCTCCCAGTCCCCGTCCCAGTCCCAGTCCATCAAGCCCGATACAACCCACCTCGCTCTGTGTCGCCCGTCTCAGTCTCCGTCGCTCCCACACTAAGCCCTTCTTTTCTGCTCCTCCCGCTCCTCCCTCCACTTTGGCCTTGGGTCAGATGACAGGTACCTGTCAGTGGTTTTCTCTGGGTTATTCAACACCTGCAAAAGGTAAAAGGGGGGGGTAAAATCAAAGCCCCGGGGCCTATTCAGTACCGGGATTGCTTCACTGCGCCTGCCTCAACCACGACACTGATGACACGTGAGAAACGATGACGATGACGTTCCCTCGAAGACTAATAAACGGCCTTTCTCCATGCAGAAGGAGGGGTTAGAGCGAGGCATACCGCGGGCACGCAGCACAGCACAGACGAAGAATGCCTGCCTGCCTGCTGGACGAAGCCGACGGACCGCTCTTTTGGCCTGGCCTGGCCTGCTTTGCTCTGTAACTTGGCCAGATCGACGCAAGACCGTCTGCTGTCCTTCGCCTCTAGTTAACGACATGGCCTTCTCATTCGTCGCCAGAGACCGCTTTCTGCAACGCTTGCTTGCCTGATAAGCACGCCAAAACCTGCTGGATGGGCAGCTGTGCAGGAAAAAGTGGGAGGACCGCCTTCTTCGATCCCCTCAGTCGCGCGTTGAAAGGCAAGACCGCCTCGCCGCTTTGGTGTCATTCGACTTTCATGGTTGTCACCTGTACCTCTTTGGGCCGGGCTTGCGAGGAATGGATTTATCGTCGGCAGAGCATGATGAAGAAACGGTCAGCACCAAGGAGGAGCAGGAGGAGTCGGAGGAGGAGCCCGCAGCATGAGGCGCAAGACAGGTATCCGTTCTACTAAGAGGGGGCCCTGCAAGTTGTCCCTGTCGCCGTCTAAGCGGCGGGCCGGATTTCGCGACAAAATAAACGTAGACCAGCCTTGATTCTCTCTCTGCTCCCGGCGCGCGCGCACAGAATGTCCACAGTGACTGACACACTTCTTTTTGCGCGCGCGCGCGCACACACAAATTAATCTTACAGAATATGGCCCATCCTATTGATGATCATGATCCAACAGTAATACAATAGTTGCCAACCCAAATTTTCCACTTTCCACTGTCTTGAAATTTTGCAGAGAGAAAAAGGACCGTCCCGAGCGTAACCACACAGGAGACCAAAAACAAAATGTGAAAAATGCAGCGAATGAACGGCCGTTACGTGGTTGAACTTGGGAAAAACCCCCCAAGCTAGGGTTACCAGGAAAACCTCCTCTCCAGTCCCGCAGTGTCAAAGTCATACCTCTCTTTCCCCCTTCTTTTCTCACACCGGCATTCGACTCTAGGTTCCTTCCCTTTTCGTCGTTGATAGGTATCTCCCGCGTGAAGATCAAGGAGCCACTGATATAATCATATTAGCAAAGGTCTTGCGCGACTCGGCTTACCCCTGAACAACTTTCAACTGGACCCCCCATCTCACCCGCATGGGACCGAAAAAAGGTACAAAGCGCAATAATAATATCAGAGATTGAACAAAGGAAAAAAAGGCTACAGCAGAGGGGTAAAAAAAAAAGACGACGAAAATCAGAAAGAGGGCTTGGAACATGTCCAACTTACCAATCCTGGAAACCGAACTCCCCCTCTCTATATCGACCCAGCGGCCACAACAACCACGACGATCATATCGTATTTTGTCTGGTCCAATGCGATGTTTGCATCTCGTGGATCTGGCGCTGAACTTCTTGCATCTCGATACTTGTCCGTTCGATGGTCGCCTTGCGGTTTCCCTCGCGGTACCAGCGTTCAATGTCCCTCTGCATCTTGTCGACCCGGCGGGTTTTCTTGTCAATGTCGTAGCACAGCTTGCACTTGTCCGCCTCCTGGATCGTGTCGAATACCAACTTCAAGCCGCACGTTTCGCCTGTCCGGTACTCCTTGTTGCATTGTTGTTTGAACTGACCCCATCTCCAATACCCGCAAGCCCAGCGCGTTTGGTAGAAATAACACATCTTTTTTTCCTCTCCCCTCTCTTTTGCTGGCTGCTCCCGTTTCCACACCCTTTTTTGGTGTGTATCTTCGACTCGGTAGCCTCCCCCCTTTTTTGGTCCCCAAAAAGACGAGAGATGTCGTCTCCGGTTTTCGTTGTTCCGTTTCTTCGTTTCTTTTTCCTTCTCGTCTGCCGGTTTTATTCTCCTTGCGGGCCGGTCCGTGGCTGGCTAGCTGGACAAGGTAACTAGCTCGTACGTCGATGCAAAAGTGGTGGAGAACGTCGTTATGGAGGAGGAGTCAAAATGGTGAGGAGGAGAAAATGGAGGAGAAGCAGCAACGCAACCCGAGAATGGAGTAGAAGTGGCTCGTTTCGGGGTTCTCGGTAACGATATGAAGTCACTGGTGACGGGACTGAAGCAAGATCAAAGGTTTGTTAGCCATCTTCTTATTTATCTTTTCCACCCCTTTTTGGTGTGTGTATTTTTTTCCCCTCTGCCTTTCCTCCTCATTCTTGTAGCTCGCCCGCAATGAGCGGTGCCCCCCTCCTCACATCGTCCGCTGCAAATATGCAATCCCATGCAGATGCAATGATGTCTTTTGACATTTGCATCCAATCATGGTGCCGCCTTTTCAGGGGTAGCTTATTTTGACTTGTCAAGGGGATTCAACCTGGACGTGGGATGGGCAAAGAAACATGAACCAGGAAGCCGTCTAAGGAAAAGAAAAAGGTCGGGAAGGGGGGAGGGGGTGTAAACAGAATTTTTGTTGAAAGTTGACTGGACTGACTGTCTTGGTGGTATTATTGAGCAACAATGGCCGCGGGAAGCAGCGGGAAAGTGACAGCGGTGGTGGCAGCAAGTGGCAGGCGGCCAGCAACCCGTTTCGGCAGAGGCGAAGAGTTTCGTTCGCAACCGCGATCGAGAAGTCTCTTTTTGGTGTTTGGCGCAAAGGCGGTTGGGCAGCAGCAGCCGGCAGTAGCAACTTTCCCTGGAATGATCTGAGGGGTGTGATTAGGGAGCGTGCGTATTTGTCTTTTGTCTGGAACGGGCTTTCGAGGTGAGAATGATTCGTTTCTTTCCGTTTTTGCTGTTGTGTCGTCTCTGACGGTTCGTCTGATATTCTCGGTTTCCCCTTTTGGTGTTGTCGTCTTGGGAGAGGTTGCTTTGTCGTTGACGTACTGTTTCTGCCCACGGCGGTCCTTGTCTACACTTCTTCTTTCGCCTCGTCCTGACTGGAGGGGGAATCAAGGCTAACTTATACTTTGTCAAAAAATACCAAGGTCATTCATTGGGGACCCGCACGATGTGTTGTCACGACCGGATCGAACGCATACGTCCAGTTTATGCCATACGTTGCCCCTATACACACACACTACACCACCCTACATTCTACACTACACAACGCACTTACGCACATACATGCGTACATGATGCACATCCCGCTTTTACTCGACGATTGTTCCTATTCGAGATGCTGGAACAAAGAGGGTTCCAATTGTTTCTCGCCTCCCCTTGTTCAATGTACACCTGCGTCTGCGGTCAACGAGACGACTACATCCACGGACCACGATCCGCTGCGTCTATTCCGCGAATGACACAATATAGGGGGAAGAATAAGGAAGAAATGTACATGATTTTGCGGTTGGCAACTGGCAGTGGCTCGTCATGGAACCGGTCTGGCTGAGCATGCGCAAGAGTGGTTGTCAAATCCGCCCCTGCAGATACAAACCACAGACATCGGACGATTGGACATGCCAGCAGCCGTACAGCAACGGACTAACTCTTTCCTGCCTTTGTTCCCCTCATTGGCAACCATGAGACGTGTCTCCTTGCTTGCCACGTCGTTGAAATGTTCGAATTGCTTCATCAGGGGACTCGACGTTGTCCGATATTTTCTCCACCTTCAGGGGTTTTCTTGAAGGAGGGGAGTACATGATCAATGGGGAGAAGACGTGTTCAATGGGCGATACAAGGATCCGCGGTCGAGAAGAGGATGTGTTCGTCTGCGGTCAAGGACCGGGGAGAAGAAAGACCACTCTGATGATGTTGGCATGCGTCGGTGATGA